TGTGGCTCAAGACATATGATCCACTTATTGGAATATAAGTTTATGGAACATAAAACTGAGTGAGAATTCGCACTCAATGCTCGGTTCGAGTCGGTGACATACAGCAGTCAAGCGGCCATTTAATTGGATTGCAATGATTGCTGCAGTTGCTGTTGTTGTTGTTTCTGCTGTTGTTGGTGCTTTTATGTTTCCTGTGTGTCATCCACCCAACATAGGCAGCCAATTGCTTGAAATTGATTTTCCCCGTGTGCAGTTGCTGCCAACTAGCACTCGCATCTATGTATGTACATATATATAACAGGCCTTTGGGGTATACAGCTATGCGGCATGGGCTGGCTGTTGCCAGTTGCCAGTGTAGCTAGGGTAGCTAGGTAACGTGCCCTCAACTAGGCCAGGTGAGGCAGGGGCCAAATGGGCCGGACGGGCAGAGGGCGGTAATCGTAGTTTGCAGTTTGATGGGTCTCTCAGGTTAGCCAAATGACTTGTTGTGGATTATGATAATGCCATGCGATAGGGTTTTTATTACATCGTATAATAAAGGACAGTTTAGCTAACTGTTATGCAGTTAAGCCAAGTGTTAATCAAATTTAATAGCCAATAGAGCTGTAGATGAATGGCTAAACTAGTTTTCAGTAAAGACTGCCTTTATTATACAACATTTCATTGTGTAGTTGAAGGGAATTTAAGCCATTTCATAAAAGTGGTTCAGTCTGCTTGGCTAATAAATGTCAAAAGGACTCGGATGTAATCACATAATTGCCCACAGAATGATTGCAACACAGCTTGAAGTGTGTGGCTTCCAGCTGCGGCAGCCAGACCCCAGATGAGAGTCTTTGACTGGGCCAGCATGTAACCTACCCGACCATGGTTCGTATACGTAATCAAGAAAGTGCAATGCACTAAAGGAAGCCATAGGAGGTGCACAGCCTGCACTTACTTGCCACACACACACACATACATTAAGAGAGACACTTAGCAGGCAGATATCATCGGAGCATGACAAAAGGCATATATTACGCATACGCCTCATGCGCGGCTCACTTAAAATTTGGGTCTCTGGCACAGAAGGCTCAGCAGAAGGAGGCGAATTCGCCAACTGTAGGGTGTTGGCAATCAATAAGGTAAGCAAAGGGACCGTTGTCATGCCCCAAGCAGCCAACTGCCGCATTCCTTCCTGCCTTCTGTTTGACTTGCTGTTTCTGTTGCTGTTTCAGTTTCAATCGCCTTTATGGCCCAGCGACACGCGTCAATCAGAATAGACGAAATTGACATGTTCCGTTGTCAGCCACTGATTATTTACCATAAGAACAAATACATATATACATATATATATTTTTATATATGTATATATATATATATATTTATGTTACGTTGCGCATTTGTGGAGCGTTGCACATAGCTGTCTGTCAGCTGCATGCAACACTGTGCGTGGGCGGTGGGCGGCGCCTGGGAAAATTCAATAACTGACCTAGTTCAGCTCGGTAGTCATCCTATCTTCTGGCCTGCCATGTGTCTCCCTGTTCTTTCAGATCTCAGACTCTTGTGTCGATTCCGGGCGAGCTAATGGCTTTTCGGCTGCTTTTCATCCTATGCCTTGGCTTATGTAATACCATTACCCATACAATTAGCAAAAGCAAAAAATAGAAAAGGGCACAAGCGAAACGTTTCAGTGCTAGTTTACCTTACTATTTTCTTCTTCTTCTTTTGCTCTTTGAATATTGATTAAACCATTATAAAAAAAGGCGCATGGCCAAAGCCATGCAAACAGTGGGAGGGGGCAGATAATAGTCACAATAGTTGTTCTTGTTCGTGTACTTGTTGTTGTTGTTGTTGTAGAGGGGGCGGTAGCTAGTGTCCAGTTAAGCTGGATTGTTGTATAATGCAAAAAAGTTTTACGAAATCATAAAAGTAATGAAATTCCTGGAAACTAGGAAATTCTTTTTAAATAATTAAATACAATTATTAAACAAATAAGAATAGTTTATATATATTTTATTTTAAATGAAAATTATTATAGTTTTTTTTTATTTAATTCATTGTTTTCCATTTTATTATATGATTATTTAGCATATTTCTTTATAATTTATTGATTTAAAAACATTTCATCTTGAGGTTGGAAAATTTTGCAAACTGTTTTATAATCACTTTTTGCACTTTTGTTTTCGCAACACTTTTACTCTCACAGGACACAAAACTTATATAATGCAAGTTCTATTCCATTTAAACGCAAGTTCTCTCGGGCTTTATATCAACTGAATGGATTTCTTTTGTGTAGAAATTGTGCTTGGTTTATTTACGTAAGAAGCGAGAGCACATTGGAAAATTTATTTGATTACTATTGCCAAGTTGGCGCCGTTGCAAATTTCTTGTGGAACCGTTGAATGGGCGAGCGTACCTCGGGTAATGACTACTGAAGCTGCTGCCAAATGGAAATGAAAGCGAACGAAAGCGAAAAGCAGCCGAAAAGGGCTCAGTGGACTCAGTGGGAGGGATGGATTGGGTGGTTGGGTGCTCGCTTTGAGCGCAAATTTGTGGGCAAGGCAAGGACGAAGCACAAAGTCAAAACGTAAGGCAAGAGAGTGAGAGAGCCAGAGAATCGGGTAAGGGTGGCAAAAAAGCAAAGCAAAAAAAAAAAAAAAAAAAATCAAAGCGGCAGACGGTGTGAGCGAGAGATTGCGCGCCCTAAAAGGACACGGGTGAAGCAAAGCAAAGAAAAAAAAAAACTAGTTAAATCGATAGCAAACGCGCCACACAGAAACTCATTCCGGATTATCTAATACGGTCCAATTGCATTTCCTCTTGAAGTGCCATGCGAATTTTTAATATGACACGCAGTATACATTGGTTTTACTGTCACAATTGAACTACCTTTGCTTGGTGTAACACTTGGAATTGGTAATCAAATTGTTGTATTTCTTTGCGATTCAGAGACGCTAAATCACTGCGATTACGCGACGCAAAACGTTGCAACCCCAAAAACGACAAATTTCCTTCTGAGCGGCTCTGCAAAATTTTGCAGCTGTCAACCGTCGGCGGCAGCAGCGACCGGTAAGTCGTGAGAGAGCATGCGCAGTCAGTAATACACTTGTGTTAATTACACAAATATGACTAACTAATTGTATATATTTAAAACTTACAATAGAGTACTGCTAGACTAGAGCCTGACAGCGATTACTATTCTGAATATTTAAATTTGCTGGAAATGCGCGCCACAAATGTATTTAGTGCTGCCAGATCCGTGTAGTTCAGTTTTTCAGGGCTGACATAATATTGGACCAAAACGTTTGTACTTCTGGATTTTGCATTAACGCTCGCTTCTTTGTACTTAAAACCAGGCTGAGTATATCAGCATTTTTATAGCGCTCGCGGCTTATATTTTTGGTGTCTGATCTTTCTGGCGATGCTTCGTGATCGCCGTGCTCGTCGTATGCCTCCAAATCAGCTGCCGGGCTTGCCGTTTGTGCTGCAATTACTGTTTATAGCATAGGGGCAAATAATTTAGTGCTTAACTCACCTTTTTTGCATTTACTGGAATCGGATTTGACCTTATCAACTCGCTTTTGATAGGGTTTGCGTTGTTTTTGCGCTTCTTTCGACTGTCCTGAAGTTGTCTTGTTGCGTTTGCTGCTCGTAGCTGCGGCTGTGTCCCCAGGTGGAGTTTCTGGACTGGAAACGGGTAGATCCTGCTGCAGGCGCCGTTTGACGTGCAAATTCAAGCGCTCCTTAATATTGGCCTTTTCAGGTGTGCCAGGAGGCTCTAGTTTAATAACTTGTAGATTTTCGGGCAGATCGGCCATCGCACAGCTGTATTTATTTATTTGGGTATAAATCGATCTGGCAGCCCTAGATAGGCAGTATTTTTTACATACTTCTTGTACAGGTAGCATCCGTACTCTCTGACGTCACAAATTCGATTCATTCTAATCAATCCCTTTTCTTAAATGAGACCCGACCTGATTTTCAAATCAGAATTAAACTAAACATTTATCGATATACCATCGTTGTTGCTATTGACTATATTTGCATACAATATTCATTTAACACTTTTCGCTTATTTAATCGTGGACTATCTCTCTACTTTCTGTACCACATCTGCAGCGTCTTCATGCGCTTCACCTTCTTCTGCAGCTGGAGGACACCGTACATGAGCGCCTCCGCAGTGGGTGGGCAGCCAGGCACATAGATATCAACAGGTATGATGCGATCGCAGCCTCGCACAACTGAGTACGAGTAGTGGTAGTAGCCACCGCCGTTGGCACAGCTGCCCATTGAGATGACCCATCGAGGCTCGGGCATTTGGTCGTAGACCTTGCGCAGAGCTGGTGCCATTTTGTTTGTCAACGTGCCAGCTACGATGATAACGTCAGCTTGACGTGGGGATGCACGGAACACAACACCGTATCGATCCATGTCATATCTGTAATGGTTTTTGTTAGCTGTATTTGTGAATTCAATGGACTCTTTTCATACCGTGGAGCTGCAATGTGCATCATTTCCACGGCGCAGCAGGCCAGGCCGAAGGTGAGCGGCCAGATGGAGCCCTTGCGTCCCCAATTGAGTAGATCATCTAGACGCGCCAACGACCATTCCGCCATGCTAGACTGCTTGGTTCCAAAAGGCGAGTAGCCTTTCTTAGGTAGAGTAGTGCCGGACTCGACAACGGGCATGGTCTGCTGTTGGCGTGCCAAGACGGTGCCAAATGAGCCGCCGAATGCGGCATTTACGGTTGATGCATTCGCGGGGCTGCTTGTTGCGCGCAGCAACTTAGCAAACGTCGGTCCAGCAATTTGTCGCAACATTTTGTCGTTGGTAGCTGACTTTTATGTAATTTGCAAAATAAACCAGGGCTGACACAAAAACACTCTTCTTCTTGGAGAAACGTAAACAATATGCACTACGATAGGTGGTAATCGAAAGACAGTCTTGGATTGGGGTGACCATACGTCATATTTGTATTATATCGCGTACGCCTGTCCACCATATTGAATTTGGCTGGCCCACCATATGGCAACGCTTACCATACGTTTTTAGCTAACTACCCGATACCGACGGCTCTCAGAAAAATTATTAATTAAACGTAATTAAAGTGTTTAAATCCATATAAAAATATAATTAAAGTGTATATAAATGAACAATATAGCGATTAAATAATAATTCAACGTTGAATATACGCCTAAAGTACGAAAAAATTTCAATTGAAAAGTAGCAACGAAAATTACAAAAAAATTTTCGCTTGCCTCGCGTCGTCCACAGCATAGTTAAGCATTGGTATTAGTGAGTAGGCACACACACGAATAGAACGTGTGCGTGTGTGAGAGCGAAATAGGTGCTCCGCTGGCAGTGAGCGGTGAGCAGCGAGCGAGTTTTGTGTGTTTGTTCCAGTGTGTACATGCCATATGAATATCGACGTAAGCAAAGGACCAACTAGAGCGTTGTATTGAGTTATGAGTGTCGCTGCAATGACTATGGACGATCAGAGACCTTTGATGAACAGTTACGATAAAATGTCTACAAAATATGATCAAAATTTGCACATGATCAACAACAGCAGCAGCAGCAGCATTAGCGGCAATAGCAACAGCGGCGCCGGCAGCGGGGCCGCTGGTGGTGGTGGTGTTGGTGGGGGTGGGGGTGGCGCTGCTATTGGCGCTGTTATCAGTAGTGGCCCATCTGGCCCGGCTTCGCCAACGCCGTCTGGCTTTGAAGAGCAGCCACAGTCGCAGTCGCAGCAGCAGTCGCAGTCGCATCATCATCATCACCATCATCATCATCATCATTCGACATCAACGCAAGCGCAACAAACAGCGGAGCAGCAACAACAGCATCGACACCACCATCACCAACAACAAGAACAACAGCAACAACAACAGCAACAGCAGCAACAACAACATGATGCCGCTGTTGCCGAAGCTGCCGCCGCAGCCGAACAGCGACGTTTGCTCGAAGGTATTAAATTATTATTTATGCATAGCTATGCAAAGCAAATTGTAAACATATATATGCCATATAATATATATTTATATATATTTCGTATGTAAACAACAAGAAAAACAAACAAACAACAACAAACAGTGTACATTTGTGTAACTTGTATAATTTGTTTAGTTTATCTTTTTTTTTTCCTTAAACTCAAATTCTGTACGAGGTGCGTTTAATAATTGAAATATTTGCTAATAAAAATACTTAATTATTTCGCGCACCTTTGCCATTGCAAGCATTATTGTAAAGCATTTGACATTTTGTGCAAAAATTTGTTTAAAATATGATGAAAAACACTACAAAAACAGAAAAACAAAAAACCGAATCGAAATGAAAAGAAAGAACTCCACGTCGTGTGCCTTGTTTTTTGGTTTATACAAAATCGAACTTGATAATTGAAGCGAACACTCTTTAGAGACATTCAGCGTTCTTAATATTAGTAAATAAGTAATTTTTTTCTTATAACTATAAACAAAAATCAATAGCAAGTGCTTAACTCCAGTGTGTGCAAAACGAACTAAATAATATTCAAAAATAAAGCAGCAAAGCAATCAATGAAATAAAGTGCTGGAAAGTGTTGTGTGTGCAAAGAACAGTTAATTCTGCTAGTCAAATATACATACATGCATATGCTAAATGGCATGTATAAGCAAATAAACATTATTTATGCGAAATGTGTGTAACAAGTGCAAACAAATGCCAAAAGTTGATCAAATTTCTATACTTCATCTACATCTGCGTCTTCGCCATCGCCATCGTCTTCGCCTTCGTTTTCGTCGTGTTTTACGTACAGTTTTTCGTTTTTTGGCCAATTGCGTTGCCAACGCTGCTCACGTTGCCGTTTTTTCGTCAACGTCTTGCCCCTGCGCGCGCGCTCCCTTCTTGTCTTACACTATCTCCGCTCCTTTCTACCTCCAATTGTCTTTCTCACTCTCTATTTGCCTCTCTCTGGCCTTAGTTTGTCTATCCCCCACGCATTCTCTTTTGTTACGCTCCCCAACACTGTTTACACAAGCGCCACGCAACAAAAGCCATAAAGTATTTAAATACAAGAAATAAATAATATAAAATGAAAAAGAGTGCAATAAATACGGCATATATGCAATATATATTGGTTTATTCAAATATTAAATTATAATTCTTTTGTGTTATTAAACCAAAAACTTTGCCAGTGCTGAGTATAGAATGCCAATCATGGCACAAAATAAACTTTACAAATGCATATACATAATACAAAAATAGTAAATAAATACAAATATTTTAACAAAACGCGCGCAAAATAATCGCATGTGTGTGTCAAGTGTCTGTGTGTTGATTTGTTGTTTAGCAACAAGATAAGATAATACAAATATACACTTATTTATATTATTTGAAATGGTGGCCATGTAGAATTTATTACAGTGCAAAGAAAGCATTAAAAATCATTGGCGCAGACGGCCGCCTACGTCTGTCTAATTGATTGCTCAATTTCAATTTAATTGCTATATACCAGGGCTGGATAATCATTTGGAATAATTTGCAAATAATTGATAGTAAAAACAAGATTAGATAATTCAAGTAACGAATTGTACAATGACTGTTAGAGGTCATCTAGTATATTTTTCTTGTCGAGTTGTAAAATATGTACATATGTGCTTATGTTATTTGCAATTGTGGTTAAAAGTTACATAACATTCATTTAAATGAGCCTTCAGCCCTGATTAGGATATAGGCCACAGTCTTGTTGTTTGTGTTTGTCAATTAACAGAAAAACAAAAGCAACGCACAAATAAACGCACGCACACGCGAGTTAAAACGGCGCTCGATTGGAGAAGTAAATATAAAGAAAGCAAAAATGATTGCCCTATAAATAAATATATTTAGTATGAAATAAAAAAATAAAAATGCATATATAAATGATTATTGATGTGTTTGCACGAAAAAGAAAAGAAAAATGTAAATTAATGAAATAAAAGTCATTGAACTTTGTTTATGAAAGCTTTTTGGAGCTTACAAGAGAAAAAAGAGTGTTCGAAAATACCAGAAAATCATGTTGATATTGATGTTTGTATGAGCTTTCTGAAAATCAAAGTGCGCGCGTCGTCGAGTTTTTTGCAAGTGTTTTTCTAAATATTTTACAGTTTTGCAACGAAATTTCAAATTTCAAATTTCAAATCGTTTGTTGTTTCCACAGTGTTCCTACTCTATAAAGCAAGAAAAAAGCAAAAGCAAAAGCAAATGCAAATGCAAATGCATAAGCAAAGTCAAATGCAAACGCAAATGCGAAGATATAAAATTAAGCAAGCAATATAAAAGTGCAAGCCAGTGTGTTCATATATATATTGAGGCCAATTTCAAGAAGCGAAAATGAGTGCAAGAAATAACACGTGGGCGAGTGCAACGTTCGTGGCATCAACGAAATCAACCAAATCCGACAACAGCGGTACCAGTAGCAGTAGCAGCAGCAACCACGACAACAACAACAGCAACAACGAGAGCGTAACAACTACAACAATGTCACGAACTTACACGAATGATTGCAACGCATTGGTATGATTTCGTATTAAGTTCAATTACAACAAAAACAAATATCAAATTATGTAAATTCTGTAAAAAACAAAAAAATCAATGTATTCTCCTACAATGAACAACTATAGCCAATATCCACAATATGTCATCAAAGTTGTGCAATAACTCTATATATATTTATATTGCCCTTAAAGAACATGTATATTATTATAGATTAGGACTCAGTGGAGAAGCACTCGCTGCTGTCTACACTGTCGTCCGCTGACCATTGCGTTTGCTGTTTGCTGCTTTTTACTTTATTCCGATCTCTTGTTGCCCATAGAACCGTCTGCAGTTAGCTGCAGCGTTTATTAATACTGTCTTTGTTTTGTCTCACCCCCAATCTACGGATCTACCCACAGATGAAATCGAGACCCTCAAGCTGGAGCAGGCTCGTATGGGACTGCAATATGCCGACGCACAGCGACGCGAAAAGATCCTCATGCGGCGTCTGGCTAACAAGGAGCAAGAGTTTCAGGATTATGTGGTAATTTTATACACAATAAGAGCTTGAGATCGAGAACTATGCGTATTAACGTAAATATTTTCGCTATAATAGAGCCAAATTGCGGAATACAAGGCACAGCAGGCGCCTACGGCTTTGGCTTTGCGCACAGCTCTGCTTGATCCGGCTGTAAATTTGTTGTTTGAGCGTCTCAAGAAGGAGCTGAAGGCCACCAAGGCCAAGCTTGAGGAGACACAGAATGAGCTTTCCGCGTGGAAATTTACGCCAGACTCGAATACCGGAAAACGCCTCATGGCCAAGTGTCGATTGTTGTATCAGGAAAACGAAGAGCTCGGCAAGATGACATCCAACGGGCGGCTGGCGAAGCTAGAGACAGAGTTGGCTATGCAAAAGAACTTCAGCGAGGAGGTCAAGAAATCGCAGTCAGGTAGGATCTGCAGCGCATAAAAATATTATTATTATATAATAAATTTTCCTGTTTTCTGCATAGAGCTGGACGATTTTCTACAAGAACTCGACGAGGATGTGGAGGGCATGCAGAGCACAATATTATTTTTGCAACAGGAATTAAAGACAACGCGCGATCGCATACAGACGCTGGAAAAGGAAAATGCGCAACTTCGACAAATGAGCGGCGGCAACTGTCCAAAGGAAGTTATTGACAATGCGTCGGCCACCGCGACAAATGGCCAAAGCAGCAATAGCAGCAGCCAGTTCCAACAATCCACCGGCAGCGGCAGTGGCAACGGCAGCAAATTGGAAACCATTGAGGAGAATGCCTGCCTGGACACAAATCCAACAACAACGACGACACATACTGCTGATTATTATAATGGCAACAACGAACAACAGACTGCGGCCTCAGAGCTAATCATGCCCCCCGACGACGGCTCCAATAGCAATGGCAGCAAAAGTGCAGCTGCGCCGCGATTGGCGCGCAAACGTAACTATGAAGAGGAGAGCGCCACATTGCCATGCATACAGGAGAGCAGCCCGTTGGTTCCATCGATGCGTGAGGTTAGTGCACCACGCACGCTGCCACCGAAGAAGTCAAAACTGCGTGGCATAGCCACGCGACGGAGCTCACAGCTGGATGAGGAGCAAAGTCTGGGCATGATGACGCCGACGCCGACGTCGACGTCCGTAGTGCTGGACAATGCAGTAGCTGGCATGGCCAGCGAAGAGTCCGCAGCATCAACGACGGCAGCCAATGTCTCAGAATCCGCAGTACCGCTCAATGCGGAGGGCGCCAATGAAGCGGCACCAGCACGCATCCTGACGCGACGCCGGTCGGTGCGCATGCAACAAAACGGTGGCAGTGCCGTTGAGTACTGAAGCAGCAGTGGGAGCAGCGGCAACGGACTTTTAAAAAGAGCGTGCTAATATTGCATTCTGATATCAGATGATTCAATTGAATATGATTTTTGTCATATGTCTGCTTATGCCTAATACTAATCGTTAAAATTTTAACGTTTATTTTGTGAATTGAGATTCAATAGAGACTTGCGGCTTATCAACATGATTATATATATATATATCTATCACTATTATTATTATTTTTTTTTTCATTCGATACATTTGTTTTGTAAAATACGTTTGTTGTTCGGTTTCCTATCCGTGCACGCAACATTATGATTATACACTACCTAATTATCCTTAGTAGAAGTCACTGATATACATAAATACATACATGCATATGTAGACATATACATACAGATTATACATACATGTATAAGATTTTAAGAAATACAATTGAAAATACAATTTGTCAGCGTACGAAACACAATTTCATCCAATTATATAATAGAATTTATATATATATATTTTAAAATGGCAGTTGAAAATCTAAAAAGTTCGAACTTTAAATCATCGCCTAGCTAAATTAGTGTTTAATTAATAAATTAAGTCATTTTTTGTAATACGAAAAAATTGTATAAAATAATATAACCTATGTTAAAATAAATTGTTAAGCGTAAAGAAAAATTTAATTGACTGAGTTTTGTTATTAAAATAGTCTAAGCAAAACATTTAAACATTTACCATTAGCGAGTTTTTGTGTGGAATATCTTATGATCCCGGATGAGAATGCTCAAAGCATTAAAACTTCGATATACCGTATCTTGCATAGAATAGGAAATATTTTATATAGAATAAAATTGGAAACATTTTGTTATTGCGTAGCTAATTTTAATTTTCTTAGTTGAGACTTTAAATATAATAGAATAACGTTAAAAATAGAATATAATTCAAAATATGGATTAGGTATTAGTGTCTAAATATGACTTCCTATATATGTAATTTAAATCCCATGTTGTTATACACATTTTAGCCAGATTACTGTCTAATATTTTCATAGGTCTCTGAGCCCATTTCTCCCGGGTAAATCGGAATGAAGCGACAGTCTGCGTCGGGCTGAATGTTGCTCATTAGACTCAGGAAAACGGGGCCAAAGGTGTTTACGAAAAAGTAACAAGGATTACGAATTACGTCCGGTAGAAGATCACAGGTGAATCGCATGGTGTGTAATATGATTTGTCGCTTTTCTTTGGTATTCACGAAGCCCTCAATTTGCGATAGTACAAATTCGTACATTTTGCGTATAGAGCCATCCTCGGGTACAGCCAACATTAATGCCTCAAACTTTTCGAGCTCCGATTTCAATTGCATTTGCAAGCTATCGAGGGAATCAATATATTCCTCCTTAGGGGTGCAAAGTTGTACCAGTTGACAAATTCTCCTTGGCGAAGCTCTTACTATCAAATCCATAGCTAATATACCATATCTATTGAGCACCGTCCTACAGATATTACGGAGTTGGGGGGACACAAAGTAGTGGCACATATGTCTGATATTGTAAATGAAATGATCCCGTTTCACTTTAGTATTGATGAACGTCTTCATTTCTATTAGGAGCAGCTTGCAAAGCATGCAACCGCCCGACGTCTGATCAGTCTGCAGCTCAGCTACATCGACTGCGAATGAGCGGTAAATATTAGGTAATATATTAGCATTATATATTTTATACGCTGCTCGGGCAGCGAGTGAAGAGTCTCATCAACATTCACAGCTGAGAAATATATAAAGTTTGTCGTTGATAAAGGATAATGAGTGCAGATGTAGTTAAGGTACTTACCATCCTGAGCCTCGTACAATAGGCACATGTTTAGTTCTCTGCAAATCTGATGATTCGCCTCATTCGACAAAACTAGTTTCTTAATCGAATCGGAGTGCTGCCTCAACATCTTTCTACATTGGTTTCCCAGGTTGTTCGTCTCTAGCAGATAACAGACATGACCCAATGCGATTTTGATATCACTATGGTGTTTCATAAGTTCACGCATCTTCAGGATCACTATTTCACAGAGTTCACAGTCGACAGACTGGGCAGCACCTGACTGCAGTTCCTCGCCGTGATTGTCATCTAAGAGTTTAATTTCCAGTTTAACTGGTGTCAACTGTTTGTTCTTGCTGCACAATCCCACCATTCGACATATGCTTTCGTCATTCATTGAACTATTCAATAAACTATAGAGAGTGTGAGAGTACTCGTCAACGAGCAGCTTGCACTCAGCCTGCTCGACGTGCCATCCAATGCATAGGCCATTTAGTTTCTCCCTGAACTGAGCCTCTGTTGAGCCTTTCAGTATAGAAGCGCGCACATGTTGCATCACTTCCTTGCACTTTGTGCGCTCAGTCAGCTCGCTCCAGACTGCGCTCGATAGCGCTGGCTCCGGTTCAGGTGCAGTACCCGGACAAATGTCAATAGCACGGCAAATCTCATTGGACCTCAGATACTGCTTGGCCAGCCCATAGATCTCGGCAAGTAGTTGGCGATGATGTTGAAGCAGCCTCCGATAGGCTGTTCAGGCTGTTGCATGTCTCCATGTTTTTTTTTTTCTTTTTTATTGTATTTTATATGAATACGAATTTCTATAAACCTTCATATTGCTAATCGTAGCCCTACTCTGACTTATGGAAATAGATTTCAAAAATCGACTACTGAAGCTATCAATAAATTCTAATATATTCTACTAATCTTTTCTATATTCATGTTCTTCAAATTGTTTTGTTTCTTACCTCAAATTGTTGCACCAGCTTGTTGTGTGCCAATTGCAGTTGCCTTCACCTAGTTCCTCAATAATCGTGGAGGATACAAGAACGCCTAGAATTTGTAATGGAAATATTATCAAGATATAAATTTCATTTAAAATTGATAAATGAAGCAAAATATGGATTAGTTTATTGTTAAAAAGAAAAATAAAGGAAATAAAACTATTCAGAAGCTTAAACCTATTGAAAATGGGATATAAGGGTGTAATGGTTCTGTTACCGCTTAAAGTATTATCTTAATCAGGGCGACGAGCTGAGTCAATTTAGCACTGTTCGTCTGTCTATTTCATCTAAGTATTTTCTCTTCGAAGTGTTACTCCTAGGCATTGTTTCTAGGCATTTCCCTTAAGTATTGCCTCTCAGTAATTTTTTCGTGTAATTCTTCAAAGTATTTGTTTTTAGTCCTTTGGAGTTTTTGCTGCAAGAATTTCCTGAAAGTCTTTCTTCCAAGTCTTTAATGCTTAGCTGAACGATTCCCACACTTCACTTCACTGTACGATTGACCCCCACCGAGCCTGGACGACTGATCAAATGCTGCAGCTGTTGCCCTTTATATAGGGCCACTTTCACTCAAAGCCGAAGTCGCTCTCAAATGTTGAGCCCGACGACAGGTAGAGCTCGTTGCAGTCGAGCTTAAGTGACCAATGGGAGCACTCTCTGCTCTCTCTACTGCTGCATACATATAAAGAACTTAAATGATCTTCTGTATTTCTTCTCCCCTTGCTTTTGATAGGCAGGCAGACAGAGAGGGAGACTGAGGGACAGTTATACAGGCATACAGATATACGGACATATGTATTAGCAAACAAACACGCATAGTTACATCGGATTACCTCCTTATGCTGTTTAAGAATATATGTGTCTGATTGATAAGGCTATATGTTTATATATTTATATAGCTTCAGTTGTAGCTTCTGTTCTTCTGATATTTCGTCCCATACTCATTTTCAATAGGCTTTTTCTGATATTTCTTATTATATTTATACTTTACTTTACTTTAATTAATAATTGTGTTGAGTTCTTATTATATTATATCATTCGTTTAGTTTATGACTTACTACACAGTATCACAGCCCCAATGGCCGAGGAGCCCGTAAATTGCATTTTGAATAGAAACAATTCAACTTTTCTGTTTACTTCACTTTAAATTCGCAAGGAAACTGGAGAAGAGAAGTTGTGTACTGTTCTTATATACCAGTGAGATGAATAATCCTAGAAACCTATTCCCTTGTTTACTTATTTATATAATTCAAGTAATTAACTATTTGTAGTATATTATTCACTCAAAGCCCACGTAAAGCCCGCGTAAAAAATATATTCGATAAGTAAAACAACAGTTTTTAATAGTTTTTTTTCTTTTTGCATTTCTGACAAATTTATTCATTTTTTTTTCCATTTATTTAATGTTAATATATGCTTAATTAATACATAAAGTTCTATGTATTTAGTGTGGTTTTAAATTAAGTTTAATACAAATTGCAGTGATTAGTGAGTGTCTGAAAGGAAGTTTTTATCTCTCGTCGCGGTCAAAATTTGTTTTGTGCCCAGTTTCGGCGGCGCTTTGGAAAAGCTAAACTGGATACAAAATTGTATTATTTATTTGTTCTCTCTTTATGAAAAGAAGTCATATCAAGAGATCTTGCTTGGCTTGACTACATTTAATAATTTCTCTAGAGTTGTATAGTTTAAGCGAATTTCAATAAGACTTAATTTACCAGGAGAAATGGGAAAATTATGTTTAGTTTAGGGCTCTAAACAAATTAACAGAGTGAAAAGTGTTAAGATTAAAGAGTAAATAACAAATTCTAGGCAGTCGAATGGCACAAGAGTAGGTACACGGGTACTACAAAATTTTGGAGCATGTCAAGCTATGGGCGTGAAATTTTATTAGATTTATCTTCTGAAGTTATTGATGTATTTATTTATTTATTTATTTTTTTGCCTAAATGCTGAGAAGTTTCGGTTATGAGTTTTTGTAAATTTCAACTAGTCAATAATAAATTTAAGTTTAGTATTAGATTAATTGTTTGCTGTTTAAATTTTCTGTTCTTCTTTTTGTTGTTGTTTTTTTTTTTTTTTTTTTTTAAGTCTAAATTTACTAAGCGCTGCTGCTTCTGCTCAGTTCTGTGGCTCGTAGCTCGTATCAAGTAGTTGGTAGTAGTATGTAATAAAAAGTTGTTATAATAGGTACTTGTGGGTTAGGCTAGGTATCAATCAGTATTATCGTAGTTAATAAAATTTATTTTACTCTTGTATATAAAAAAAAAAAACACACAAAGTTATCGATTTTCTTTCTTTCTCTTCATTTTTTTTTTCTTTGCCCACAATCTTTGTGGTTTTTACGCTATATTCATAACGAATATTTATAAAATTATTTAATGCTTCGTAAAGCCGAACTCGTCAATGGCTTTTGGTATTTGGTTTTGGTTTCCTCTTTTTAGTTTTAGTTGTTCTGGGCTAAGCTAAGCAAATATACAAAAGCTACTTAAACGTATAGCATGTACCTGGCGTATGTATCTATGTATATATATTTATATGGTTAATTCATAATTTTGGTTTTATTATTTTGTAGGTTTATCCATAGGTATTCTTGTTCCATTCTTCAACATAATAATTAGCTAAGTGTTACTTACAAATGTGGCCATCTTAAATTAGGTATCAACACACACACATTAACACACATGAACACACTCTCTCACACACTTAACATGGGCAGTAGTTTTATATGGAACAGTGTGCGCATTTTTATTGCCTATATTTATTTTTATTTAATTTTTTTTTTAAATTTATTTATTTATTTATTTTTTTTATTTTTTATACCAGCGAGCGTCATTTACAAAATTTAATTTAATATATATGTATATATATTTTGTTTGTTTTTTTTTTTTTTTTTTTTTTTTTTTTTTTAATTTTTTTGCGAGTTTAAGGCCGTTGTTGGAATTTGTAGTGTATTTGCTATTTAACTAAATTTTCTTGTCTATTGGAAGGTCTACAATAAAGCGCAGCGACCCGTCCACTATAGGCAGCACACACTGTCACACTTTCATAGTTAACATAAAACTCAAGACACGGCTTAAAAACAAATTTGGTAGCTAACTTTGCCTTAAAACTAGCTCGACATACAACAAAACTAAATGGTGGAAAAAATGAACAGCGTCTTAAGCGTTTATGAGTATATAGTAAAAAATCGAACGTCCTCCCTCCCAATATTCCTTATAATTATCATATATATGTGTGTGTATATATATATAATACAAAAACATTATCAATATATATTGCCTATATTTAGCTAAATCCATTGCGATCAATGTTAAAGCAAACGACTCAGCGCATGGCTGAGCAGCAGGAGCGTGAGATTCGCATAGAAGGCGCAACCCTTGCCGCACAGCTTGATCGCGCTCTCCTGTCACAAAGAAAGGGAGACAGTTATCAGAAAGGATGAGAAAGAGAGAGGGAGAGTGTGGGAGATTGTCTTACATTCGCATGACGACTGATGCAGCTCTGCGGACGCACTCGATTGAATTCCCTGGCATGCTTGTAGCAGGAGAAGGTCTCATTGGGCGCCAGCGGATAGTTGATGGGCGCCGGATTGACGGTCAGCACGAGGGCGACGTCGCGCGGACAGAGCTGATCGATCACGAGCAATATGAGATTGCTATTGGGTATGGGCAGCACCACAAATGGCCGCTCGCATGCATGCGCTGTCATATTGTAGACAACGTTGTCCTTCTCATTGTAGAGCGTGTAGAGCTCGCGCTGCATGTCGCACGACTTGAGGCGCGTGCGTCGCAGCGTCAAATGCCGCAGCCAGGCGGCATTCTTGGTCTGGCCGTGATCTTCGGGCTCCTGCTCGGTGCCATTCGCATCCATATAGACGTCATTGTAATGGGCCGATATGCCCGGCGCCAATCGCATCAGTTGCACAATATACCACAGCGCCGTATGCAGCAGCCATTTGCCTACGCGCAGCAGATGAAACAGCGGCTGAAGTGAACGAAATTGCGATTATTATTATAGGAATAATATTATTTGTTATTTGAAATATTCAACTATATTTTATACATGTTATATAATATGAAATATATTAATAAAGTATTTAATGTTGTGCGCATAAGAATTTTAAAAGCTTAGCAAAGTGTGATGCGGGTTTTTTTATCTTTCAATTTGATTTATTTTTAAGCAATAAGCAGGAGCTGATGCTTGGCAAATTGTTATAAGTTTAATTTGTAATAATAAATTTTTGTATAGCAAAGATTTACAAACGCAAAAGCACATTGGATCAGTTTGAGTTTCAGATTTTTTTCAAGCAGCTATAAGGCTCAAGTCGAGGACCACTGGACTAATTATATAAATTTTTAAAAATATATTTTAAAACATTTATTTTTAATATAGCAATTTTATGTGGTTTATATTGTTCTTTTATAAACATGATTTTGTTTTACTTATAGCTTAAGTTGGCAAACTTAAAACCTGAAGATTTCAGACCCGGGCTAAACATAAACTGATATTTTTGTTTATTTCTAATTTTTTCCTGAATATAATTTCAAGCGAAAATTTAAATAATTTTTGGAAAAACTTCAAATTTTCTAGAAATTAACTCAAATAAATTGAAAACTGGCTTTTCTAAGGTATGGCTTCCTTGGGAGGGTAATAAGCGTTTGTTTGAGGTAGCTAATATATTTTTTCCACAATGCCCTAAAGCTCAAGTTAAAGAAATAATTAAAAGACTGGCTAACGAAGATTTTGATTTTGAAAGAAAATGCTTCAATAAATAAACATCAAGAGTAGATTGAAAATGCAAGCATGAATTGAAATTGAAATTGAAATTGACTCAATTAATTTTCAATATTTTTAAAATGTTTCTTCACACTACTTTGCAGTGTTAGTCAATGTATACACTTAGCTGAGAGTGAACTTTAAC